AAAAAAAAAAAAAAACAAGGAAAAAGAAAATAAAGAAAAAAAAGAGGAGAGAAAAGAGACGCGAGAGCGAGGAGAAACGGTTTGTCTATTAGGGAGCGAACGAAAGAACCGCTGCGCGATGTACGCGTTTAACTTGGGACAATGAATAATCGGCGACAGAGAGAAACTCGGCGGAATGTTTCGCGAGAGAAAGACGCATCGTGCACCGATCCCGAACGTGTTGTTTCGAGAGCCTCTGTTGTCCAAGTCACGCTGCTGGAACCCGTAACGGACCGTTTCCGCCGCGTTAACAACGACACGTGTGTCCCCCTGTTACGTTTTCATTTAATTTCTTTCTTTCTCTGTTTTTTTCTTCTTTTTTTTCGCGAGCGAAAACGCGCGGAATTGCTCGTAAAAAAAAAAGAAGGAAAAGCGCGCATTCGTCGAATTGGGGGAAGAAAGTAATTAGTTGACGCAGCGTAAATAGATACAAACGCGCAATAACCGTGCGATATATCGCGGGGTTGAAAAGCAAGCTGTATTTCCGATCGCTATCGTCCTGTAAATTTATGCGACCGAGGACGGATCTAACATCTCGGCAACGTGGACCAGCCGACAGTTGTTGCAACGAGTAACACGTGTCCGTGCCACGCGTCACCCTAATGTTCTTTCCTGCTTTTTCTTTTTTTTTTTTTTTCGGGAACAGGAAATTGATTCTAGTATCGGTTCTCTAACGTATCCCGCATACCAGCTGTTATGTATGTAGCTGATGTCAAGGTAGGATAATTCGCACGGTTCAACGAGCGTAATGTCGGACGATATATTTTAGTAGACGCGTAGGAACGTTTTTACTCGAATGAAATATGTCGCAGTAGTTGTACAACTCGTGGGCCAGAGAGTAATTTTACACGTAAAAAAAAAAATGAGTCGAAAAGAACGAACAAAATTTTTTTGGTTCGAGAACATTGATTTTAAATATTTTTTTCAAGTTAAATTTAAATTGGATTAATTTTCTGATTGGACAGAGCTACTGTATGTAGCAGAACTCCGTCAACGTACGAGCTTCGTTTATTTGAATTTAATTTTAGTCAGTGTCCGATTCAATGAACTTTTGCTGGTCAATCAGCTTATTCTAATCTGAACTGCTATTACATAAACGGAAAGTCACGAGACGAGAGAATCCCTAGAGATAGATTCTTGCATGAGCTCCAATTATACAGAATCTGTTGCACAAAGTATTACAAGCTGTTTTCTCCGAATCTATTGCAGATAATGGAAAGTTTAACGCGTTAAATGAGGAATTTTAGAGTCGGAAGAGATCGCAACCTCTAATTTTTTTTAAATAAGAGCATTAATTTTTGACAATCGTAACAACTTCTATTTAAAACATTTCTTTGCGTTTCGCGTCTTTTAAAATGTTATCGCATGAAATAAAATGTTTTTTGAGTGGCTTGAAAGATACAAAAGTAAACACTGTCGGAGTTTATTAAATGTTCAAATTTACCTCTTATTATTATACTAGTATATTATACTAGTATATTACTATATACTACGACAACCAATTATTTATTCTTCCTATTACATTTTGTTTTACCGATACTGCCCTTCGGGGTATCGATTTGCTTGCATTTTTTTTTTTATTCTGTGATTTATATTTTTCCTTGCGGAAGGTGATTCGATCTTTTACGTAGTCCTATAAAAAAGAATATAGGGGATCAGAGGACTTGTACGACCCACGCTCTATTTTTCTGTAAACATTGATTGACAAACGTTTGAATATTGAAATGAACATTTAATAAAATAAAATTGATATTATTAAAAAAAATAATTTCTTGCTAACCTTTTAACTACAAAGAATACAAAAAAATACTTTAAATAATAGTCGTTTAATTTAAATAGAATTCGTCGAGCATCGCTATTCATCAGTTACAATTTAACTCGATGGTTGGCGATGATTCAAGCAGTGTCGAAATCGGTGATCCTCGTTCAAACATTTTCAGAGTCGCGACGAGCGGAGAACATTATGCCTAGATTTTCTCTCGGCTCTGTTTTTACCTTCGCGGACTCTTGGATCGGTTAGCTCTCTAACGCTGGTCTTTGGTTGCAAACTTAGAGCGCAGTTTGTAACCTACTCACAATCGAAACGTTGGTCGACGGCCAATGATGCATCGGCGGGGGTACGCGAACTTTGTGCCGTTTGCTCGATCGATTTCACCGCGAGAGGAAACCGAAGGTAATCGGAAGTTTATTACCGCGATGTTTCTTTCGACTGTCGACCCACGGGACGGACAATGGCCCGAAAGAATGATTTTGGCCAGCGGCCAAACTTCGCGTTGTTCTCATGCTCCGTTCGTCTCCGCTGAAGTTTAGCCAAATTTGTAACGCGGATTCGCGTGTGCTTTGATTTTCCGACTCGTCAGTTGTTTACCGCGAGGTCGAGGAACTCTGAGCAGCCAATTCGTTCGTTTCTTCGTCTCTTTATCTTGGGCTATGTCGAGGATGATTTGTTTCTCGTGTTTGTCGACCGTTGACAACAAAATCGTTGTATAACATAAAATTAGGACATAAGCCAAAAGAGAATGACTTTGTCGTGGCGATTTCGCATTGGTGTTAATGTGTTAATGGACACGGCTATATTTACAGGCAGTGGCATCGATATAGTAGTCACATAGTGAATAGATTGAATGTATACAGGGTGAGGCATTTAAAACTGGTCACCTGAATACCTCGGTTGTTGTTAGTGATGAAAAACAATGTAACAATAGATTTTACGGAATGTAAAAAATATCTCCTAAACTAATGATTTCCCGATATAAATAGGTTAATGTCTTTTTGTAAGAAATATCGAGATTGACCTCTTAATGTGTTAAAAATTATGATTCCATTTTTAAAAAAATCTAGTTGACGCGTCCACTTGTCAAGAAACTATTAATATCAAATTATTATTATCAAAAAACTATTAATATTAATATTTTCGATAGCAAGAAGCAATTTAGTCTAATGCATTTCTTATTCAAAGATGTTCAAATGGCCTGTTTTAAGCGTGCCTCATTCTATACGTAAAAATACAAAATATCTTTACACTTGAAAAGAATTTTTTCCAAAGATTCGAGATCATCGATCTGTCTTTAAACGAAATATATTTTATTACGTGTCAATTAACGCAACTTATGTCTAACAATTTTTCCAAAAATATTTTAATTTTGATTTCGTCCAAGTTTAACGTATGGAAAACAATGTGTCTTGTCTTTCGTACGTCAAATTTTATGAAATTGAGTTTCTAATATCTTTTAACTTTTAAACACACACATCCTACAAAAATTCTATGTCATTAATTCCAAATATAACTTGAAAAAAGTTATGTATTTTATATATTAATTAATAGTTATATATTAATAATTTTGAAGACTTGTAAGAAAATCTTTAAAATCTCATAAGAAGATTTTACGAAAAAAATTCTCTGTTCTTTGTCTTTATCTTCAGTATACGACAGCAAATAAAGTAGCTATTTAACCAGGACACTCTATGTAAATGCTTGATGAAAGAAAATGGCAGGAAATACCAGCGCGGCCATTGCAAAATCGTTTTTGTGAATTACGATGTTAGTGAGACTGTACAATTAAAAAATATAAGAGTCGAAGTTCTCTAACATAGCGCGAGAAAGCGTTTTCGTCTCACGTGAAAATTTTGTTTGCTCGAGGAAATTGTGTGTACAATGCTGGCGAAACACGGGAATCAGAGGCCGTCTGAGAAAAAACACTTCGGTTTAGAAAGCCCTTGTGCGGAGCCCTTTAGGGGCTGTAATTCTTTAAGCGAGAGGCTTACCCCTTACGAAAATGCATGGGAGGAACGGCGAGAAGGGGTTTCACTTAACCAACCGATCGATACGAGGTCTGGAGACGATAAAGCACGCGCTGCGTTCCGCATGTCCGGTTTCTGTTTCCCTCTTCGGTTTCAAGAATTGATTTCGTTCCACTCGTGTACATATATACCATTATTTCTTCCATTTGCTTAAAGCGTTAAACCGTGAGAATCGTTCGATCCACGAATCCACGGACACCTCTTATACGTCGAACGAATATCGAAAAATCAATTGCTATTGATCTTGGGCAACATTGTTCCCTTTGTTTTTTTTTTTTTTTTTTTGAAATTCGGTCACGTTCGACGATCGGAAGCTCGACTCGTATCGTCAGATATTTGTTTTAGGAGCGCGTTATTAATAAAATCAATTACGCAGAGAACTCGCTGACACAGTGACACGATTGGCCACCCCTGAAAGGGGTAGCTCGGCACCCTATGGTTCGCTCTTTTTTGTACCCCTATGCGTGTCCCTTATGGGGGCATCCACCCTCCTGTGAACCTCTCTTGTCTACGAGTCGCTAGGTTGTTCACCCTTCTTTCTATTCGAGTTGCTTAGAGAACGTACCCCGGCCTCGAGAGCATGGCTGACAACTGTTAAGTTGGTCACCCTTCGTGACGAATAAAAAAAAAAGAGAGAGAGAGAGAGAGAGAGAAACACAAAAAAATAATATCGTGCTTCGATGAACTCGGCATTCTTTCTCCGACAATAACGACATAGTATTTTGCGGTGGTTAACGCGCTTGAAGTTGTCCGCTTCTTTTTCGCTCATTGACGCGTATCGTGTTCGTTCCCCGTAATAAACGACTGCGATGCGAAAATGTTGCAGGGTGGCGAGGAAGCGGAGAACGGATCAGCCACGGCGGGTAGCCCGTTGGAGGAAAAATCGGCAGTAAGTAGTCCAACGGCGGAGAACGAGGCGGCCCTTGTAGCAGCCGCGCCAACACCGTCGACCGAGACAAAGGAAGAGAGCGCAGCATCGGCCACCAGTAGCCCCGCCGAGGATAAGACAGAGGAACCCACTCCTTCTGCTCCAACTCCCGTCCCTGTCGAGGAAAAGAAAGAGGAGGTCGAAAAAGTCGAGGCCGAGAAAAAAGTAGTCGAGGTCAGTCCAGCCGGTGGTCAGTTCGTACCGGACCCGGTAGAAGTCTCCGTATTCCGAGTCCAGACAGTCGCTACGCCATCGTCTATCATTGAGAGGAAAACCAGTGAGGATATCCCTTCCCTGCCTCCGTCCAGTCCGCCGCCAACCCCCATTGATTCCTCGCCTTTGCAGCAGGCTCAGCAGGCCGCGGCGACCGCGACCGCGCTAGCGGAGGCCTTTAAGCTGCCTGCCGAGGCTGCTGACAAGGATTTAATTACACCGTCAACCTTATCTTCCCTCTGTCCAGAGCGTAACGACCCGTCAACACCAGCCGCGGAATCTCTCGATGCGACTTCCATCCAGAGACCGCCTTCGAGTTCTTCTTTCGTTGACGAACAGCAACAACAACAACAACCCCCCCGAACAGAATCGACTCTTGTCCCTCCGAGCGTAGAGGCTCTACCGGTGATAGACACAGACGCGTCTAATCTCGCGGACGAGGCTACCAAAAATTTCGAATCGCTTAACGCCGGTGACGGCGACAACGCTGCGACCGATAACACTGCCGAGGTCGACGCTCTTCCGCCTCTCGAGAGCGACGCAAACAGCCTTTCTGGCGTTCCAGTTGACCGACTGGAGTCGCCATCGTCTGAGAGCAGTGTCAACCGGAAACTTGTAACGGAGGAGACTCCGCTCTCCGAAGAAAGCAACGAAGTCGAAGGGTCGACTCGCGAGCTCGGAGGCGCCGACGAAAACGTCGAACGTTCTTGCGACGCGAGCCTTCCGGAAAAAATGCAGGTCGTTGAACAGCCTTTGCTGTTGTCGAATGAAATTGGCGATCTCGAAGGCGCCAGATCGATCGAGAACGAAACCTCGGAAGTAGTAGTTGTGGAGAACGTAACGCAGGAGGACTTTGTTGCATGCGAGAGAGAAAAGGTACCGGAATCTGCGAATACAAAGGAACGAGACGAGGAATCGGTCGAAGAGGTTGTCGGGTCGGATCAAATTCTCCGAGAGGAGATCGAGCAAGCGGAAGAAGCCGCGGTTATCGACCCGCCGGTTTTAACGGTCGACGCGATCGTGGAATCCGAGGAAGGCCCTGTTCCAATTTCGGAAGAGATCGTAGTGGAGGCGAAGCCAGCCGTTGTCATACCGGAGGACGAGGAAGAGACTGAAACGGTCGAAGAAGTAACGAATGCCGACGCGTGTATTTCCAGGATAGATGCCGAAACGATTCCAGCCATTCCGGACGTTGTTGAAGACAAATTGGAAACGGAAACGGAGCACGACGTTGTCGTGCCTACGGAAGAAATCTTTATCTCCGAAGTATCAGAGAAATCGGAAGATTCGTTTGTTTCTAACGAGGCGATGATCGATCCTGTTCCGCCTGTTATCGATCTCGCGATCGAGAACGTTGCCAATAAAGCGGCAGACGTACCCGAGATGACTAGGAACGAGGAGGAGTCGATGCCTCCACCCTTGCCAGAATCACCCATGCCGCTTACCCCCCAGGAGAAATTTTATTCAGAGAGCGTGATTATCGCGGACGATTCGAACGCAGTGCCTTCCCCCGTTGTTCACGTAGAGCCACAGATCCTAGACGTAAAAGACACGCAAGAGGTAGACGGGTCTCCTTTTTCACTGCCACCACAACACATCGAGGAGACGAGCGAATGTTTTATCGCGGATATTCCCGTTCCCCAGGTAGACAACGAAGCGTCGTTGAAAATATCAGACAGCCCGACGTGTCCCGTTAACGAGAAAGCCATGTATCTTCCGAGCGAGACACAGACAAATTCCTCTTCGTCCAGACACTCTAGTCTCATGGACGATCTTCCCCCAGCCCCCGACGACACGATTCAGCAGTCAGATTCCTTCAAATATCCCTTACCACCGGAAGAGCTCTCCTGTTCGTTCAGTATGTCCGAAGCGAATAGCGAGCTTCCAATTCCCGATGAGAACGCATCCAGCTTGAGAAATCCGACAGAGACACTACCGATACCACCGCCCAGAAGTCCCAGTCCCCTGTCCAACGTCAGTATCACGTCCGGCCTTACGACATCCACGAAAGACTCCTCGCAAACACTATTGTACGACGACCAGAGCAATCGAGAGTTCAAGATGGAATCGGTGTCGATAAGCCTCAATTCGTACAATGAGTCCGACATTGAGTTAAAGGAGAGGTTAGCAGAGTCTCTGGCGGAGACTGAGAAGCAGGAAGAGAGCTCGGTCTCGTGTCAGTTGTCGAACAACGCCACGTCGTCGGCTACTATCCAGGAGATCCATCAGGTGACTAACATGTAACACAACCTCCTGGCATGAATTCAGGCAGCCAAAATACCTTTGGTGGTGCCTCGTTCCAAGTATCTCGTCGTACGGTCCGCACAAACCAATCGTCTCTGTGAATATAGTCTGAAAATATCGACTTTTTCTCCTGTTTTTCCCTCCACACATCCTCCGTCCAGTGCTCTGTCGCCCGACGCACATCGAATCCCAGATAATCGAACATCTCATCCTCGGTATCTTAACCTTCTCACACCTTCGCTTTACGACGTTCTCTTGACGAAGGGTAATCGAATGAGACCGAGACTGGAACACCGACGTCTGTGGGTTTTTTTGCACGAATTCCATCTAAACGATCAAAAGAAGCAATCCTTGTTTCGGCGTATCTCCATGCACGATACGAAATAGAAAATTCAAAACGAATCGATTGTGTCGCAACATACATATCCTCTTCCATCATAATGGTATATGTCCTTTCTTTCTCTCTCTCTTTCTCTTCTCTTTTTCTCTCTTTTAGTCCTTAACACACAATCCAGCGTTTTTTTTTTTTCTAAAAGGGTCTCGTCGAATGCATCCTTCGTTCTGTCGAACGTGATTAACAACGTCTACTCTGTTGCTGACAATTCCTGTGACGCTTCCATCACCAATCACTACCAGAACAACCGTTACTGCCACCACCTGTGTTGTTTGCCTCTTGGTTTTCTTGACAATATTAACACGACTTGTTATTCGAATCGAAGCGCTGAAAGTAGAGCATTTGTAGCTCGACACATAGATTAAACGAGCAAGAAACAATCGCTGCACTAGTCGAGTCCAAGAGTTTTCCGTAGAAAATTTCTTTTTTCGTCGGAACGCTGTCACTAATATAACATATTATATAGCCGCTCGACTTAGACGAATTTCTAGCGTGAATCTCATTGATAGACGTTATAGATAAACTTTTATGAAGCTAATTTTTATAGAAACGTAAAAATAGCTGAGGTTATTAGAATTGAATTATGCCATAGAACTTATATTAGACATCGATACTATCATATGCTCTTTCTGTAATTGCATCTGTTGTGTCGTAAGCATCTTGTATTGCGCATGCAGAGTTTTCTTATTCGAGGGTTTTACACCAGCAGGGTTTCCAATTCTTTGCGCTGTCCGGGAAGCATGAAGAACGATTCTGTCCGGCCATGCGCGGTAGTCGTATTTGTGACAATCGTGTGAAATAATAATCTTACTTACTTGTACTCTCTGTGGTCTTACTCACTTCAAAAGTCTCAAAGAGTTGTTGCGTTGAGAATTTTTTTCGAGTGGCTCGACGGAATCGACCTTTACGTCTTTTGTCCTCGTAGCATGCTGGGATTTGGACTTGTTGCGGACGTCCGATTTCTCTGATAGAATCCTTTAACGAGGGAGATATGTACGTTGCAGAGCACTCCGGAACCCGAGGTCCCAGTAGAAAACAATCTGGCTCGTGACAGTACGACAGAAAGTTCAGCCGATGCTATCAAGGTTACAACTCCAGCCGTCCCAAGTGAGATACCCGCCTCTCCGCCATCTGCCCCAGCCATCACCGAGGATGTTGCCTCTGTAGCCAAGGTAACATCGCGTCAACCCGATTTTTGTACGTTTGTTCAGCCATGCTTCGAATGACCAAGCTAATATGTACGTATGATGATCGCCAACAAATCGCTCGCGCGAGTTTGCGCGAACGATTCCGAGGCCATTAACTCAGCTTAATGTCCAGAGAAGAATAAAGTGCGAGGGGCCATCTGATTAGTATCTTAATATAGCATAATTCTTCGCTCGTGTAATCGCTACGTAGGTTCAATAACACGGCTATTAATAATTATCCCGGCTTCTTCTTTTTGTTAAAGGCTATCGAAGAGATTGACATAAGCGATAAGGCTGTTGCGGCGGCAACCATCGAATGTAATACGAACGTAAGTTATTTCTTGGGAAATATTTTTATCGTATACTTGTGTACGTGTACACATACGTGTCTCTATCGAATGCTGTAATTTGTTTTTGCTGTTCACAGGAAATTATCGCGGAAGCACATTACCAAAACAACATAAACGAATAAGCATCACTAACCGAATTGTATTTTGGGAAGAAGAAAGTTCTTTTCTCTCGTTAAAACCAAAAAAGTATATTATATAGATATGTATATTTGGACCATTCCTGCAACTAAACAGAAAATAATGTTCTTTCGTTACGAGCAAACAAAAATATGGAACGATGTGACCGCGACATCGCGAGAGCATATAGACTTTATAGTAGGCCTATTGATAATTATTAGATGGCATTTGACGGCAGGGCGAAAGAGAGCATTCATGTAATGTGAATGACCGTATCATCGAAGAGAACGAAGTTACGAGGACGAGCCAGATAGGATAAAATATGATTGATTCCGAAAACATGTAGTGCCGATTAGCAAATGGTATCCCGATGCAGATGATTTTTACTGTTCTTTTTCGATATGAATAAAATATTTTCAACCGAGGGCCCCGTGTTTATTTGTAACGTCGTGACAACTTGGCCCTGCTGTAAAAAAAAAAAAAAAAAATTGGGAAATTGTCATTATTGCTATGTGTAAATCGTATCATGCGACCATCGTGCGACGGACAGACGATACGTACGAACATTAAAATAAAGTAAATAGTGGTGAAGAAGGAAACTTCATTTGTCGCCTATTCCAGAAAAAGAAAATACTCATCGAGGCGCCCCCTCTCGTAACTACATATTGCTATATCGAGAGAGTATAAAGAACAAGAAAACTGTAACAAAAAAAATAAAAAAAAAAAATTAAAAAAAAAAATAAAAAAATGTAAAAAAAAGGGTAAGATCAGAGACTGACAGAACAAGGTGTGTGTGCTGGTATGTGTGAGAAAGCATGATAGGATGGAGTTCGAAAGAAGAATGAGAGAGAGAGAGAGAGAGAAAGCGAAAGCGAATATCGAGCGTCAAAAAAAGGAACAAGGAAAATAGTAAAGAATAATTGGAATGTGTCTCTTCGCCAGAATATGAACAGGAAAGCAAGAGCGATAGAATGGAAGAGCGATTAAAAAAAAAAAATTATTAAAAGATAATGTCAAAGCGCGCACGAGTTATGAAACACTCGCATCGCGATTTCAAGGACAGTAGATTATTTTGCTCGTATTTCTTTCGCGGTCCTTGTTTTTCTTTATAATTGTACAATCGAGAGGTTTTATGTTGTAACGAGGAACTGCACACTTCAACGTATGACTTTGGTACGCGCGAGCACACGACATAACTACACATGCAAGGACATTACACGCGAATGCGTACATACGTATCATACAACACACGAGATAAGGGAAACATACAGTATGTCGAAACAGTGTAAGTGATATATAATCTAGACATAGAGAAAGCGTTTGTGTAAATTCGGCGTTTGTCCTTCGAAATGCTACTTCTCCATATGAGAATACTTACGAGGAAGCCTATTCGTAATTTTATAATAATCATTAAAATATCGCCTAATTACAATTACGAAACATGCACAATTACCATCCAGAACGGATTCGTTTCCACGGATCTCCAGGAATAAATAATTACCTACGAAAGCTTTTTTTATTAAGATCGTAGCGTAGATCGTAAAGTTAAACGAAAAGCGCATATATGTAAATGCTCCAAAATCTCAGAATAACATGTAAGTGTTAATGGAGCGAGCGTTCACTGTGCCCGCGACCGGCATTGATTTTTAAACGATATATTATTGAATAAGGAGAAAGAGGTAAAATTAAAAGTTGTATAGTAAACCTTTCATTAAATATATTGTCCGTAATGATCTTTACAACGAAATTCACGTTTTTTCGAAGCAAGTTTTGGCGACGAGAGTGAACTTTTTATTTAAAAAAAAGTGAAAAAAAGAAAAAAAAAGATTCTTAAACCCGACTGATCTGTGCACTCAGAAACTATCAACCGTTAACGCTGAGGCGCCATCGACACAAGCCTCCTCGTTTATTTATTTTGCGCGCCGGAACTACAAAATTGTAAATGAGATTTTTGAGTCGATGATGCCTCGGACACAGACCAACAGTCTTCAGTATCTTCGATGAGCAGTTATAATAGTAATTAAACTATTCTACATTTATCTATAACCTATAATAAACTGTGAAACAAGTGTAAAAAAAAACTCGTGTTCTTATTTCATCTCGGACAATTTACTACAATCATAGGTTGAGCATAAAAAATCTTTTTATTATTAATTGTTTTGTTTACATTCAAGTACTATACCTTCCATAGTGTTTATAAAGGTATCCAATTCATCTTTGTTCAATTCAAAATCTAAAATACGTTTTGAATTTTTATTTTCAAGAATGAGATCTAACTGTAGAAGAGGCTCTCTTAAAGAAGCTAGTTTGCTAGAGCCCATTACAAGCTGCAACATATAGTAGTGCAACATATAGCAATGCGTCTTTGTACGAATTTCTTTCATACCTTCAATCTCCAGTCAAAGTCAATTACAGTCTCGTGTTTCTCTTTGGAACATTCTATCAGCAGAGCATCTGTTAACTGTTCTCTTCTTACTTTTAAACATGATAATATATTCTGTTGAATCTGCTCTGGCAATTCGTGGTACTCTTGTGGCATCTAGGAAGAATTTTATATACCGATGTGAAAACAGTTTTATTTGTTTTATGGTAATATTAGTCGAACCTTTTCTTCCGTCAAATACAACGAAGCTGGATGTCTTAAAAGTGTAGATATTAATTTGTACGTTTCTTCGTATTCTTCTTTACTCCAATCCATACTATTTACAAATTTATGATAAGTTGGACCTGGTCTCCCACATATTTCATCCACGCAAGCGTGCAACAACTAAATTGTACAGTTTAATTTTTCGATAATCTAATTATTACTTTCTTAGATATGAAAACAAATGGTAATCATAATATTGTAATACTTACTTCTTTTAAAACATGAATCTTGTCCTCACCAAAGAGGTTAAGGTATAACGTCTGGGCGGTTTCCATAATTTACAATTTTCCAAAAACTAACTTTCTGTACCTAGTTCAAATTATAAATAACAAAATTCAATAAAACCGAGGAAAGTTTTTGTACACTATGTTTATTTTATATGAAAATAATCGGAGACTGCAGTTTCATTTATATCACACATGATACATAAAACTAAATATCGTTGACAGAAAGAACATAGATTTAGTCGTATAAATAACAAGTTTCATATTTGATTTAAACTTTAATTAACCTTGAAACTTTAATTTTGACATTTCTTCAGATTCTTCCTCTTTTTGTCTCTATCTCTCTTCATGAATTACACAAAAACATTATATTATCACTACTAATAACGATAATACGTAAATCAGTAAAGTCACTGACTAAAGATAATATAGATGTGGCATCAAATGGGATTTTGGGTTTCGTGTTCTAAAATATCGAGAAATCCTTCTTACGCCCTCTGTGACTTGTTATAGTCATAGACAAAATAGTATATATAGTCATTATGAATAGACTTTGCCATAGACTTCTTTCTTAAGAATTTCTCATGAATTTTATGTATTTGATTTAGATTAGATTTTTTTATTTTTTATTTCAAGTTAACATTTTGTGCGAAATACGTGCGTATTAGGTTTAAATTAGATAATGATTACAGCGCCAACGGCAAAATACGTAACGTACTTCCTATGATTCTCGAAATAATCGATATTTTTCACGATCGATTTTTAAACGGAAATCATGGCGGAAGAAAGCATTCCTCGTCTGTAAAGAAGAAAGTGTTATTCAGAAAAAAGGTATCTAGAAGTTCTTAGGTCAAAATTTATCAATAGTTGTTAGATTTATGTTTATGTTTTGTATTTTTAAGATAAAAGGTGCATTTTTGTTTCAAACTCAAGGTAAGATTTAACCAAGTAATTATTACTTATAATTTTCAACAATTAATGAAATAATAGCATAGAAATGTTTAAATAGACTATATTATGCTAAAAGTTATTTATAATTTTATACCAAAATCTTATTTCAATTCTACATAAATAATAATAAATAATAATTTTACTATATAACATAATAAAATTTCTCATGTCTCAGTTTAGAGTATCGACAATTTTTTATCAGGTGTCTGAATATTTTCGTTCTTTTTTAAGAATGTGTCATCAATTTTGTGTATTTGATTGACCAGTTTTTTTATTTTTTATTCCAAGTCGTCATTTCGTGCAAAATGAGCGATTACAGCGCCCCAACGGAGAAATACGTAATGTACTTCCTACGATTCTCGAAAGAATCGATATTTCTCACGATCGATTTTTAAACGGGAATCATGGCGGAAGAAAGCATTCCTCGTCTGTAAAGAAGAAAGTGTTATTCAGAAAATTCATCCAGAAAAAAGTATTGTCCAGAAGTTCTCAGGTAAAAATTTATCAATAGTTGTTAGATTTATGTTTGTGTTTTGTATTATTAGAATATAAGACGCATTTGTAGCTCGAATTCAAGGTAAGATTTAACCAAATAATCATTACATATAATTCTCAACAATTAATGAAGTAATAGCATAAAAACGTTGAAATAGAATATATTATGCTAAAAGTTATTTATAATTTTGTACCAAATTTTATTTCAATTGTATATAAATAATAATAAATAATAATTTTACTATATAATATGATAAAATTTCTCATGTCTCAGTTTAAAGTATCGACAATTTTTTATCAGGTGTATGAATATTTTCGTTCTTTTTTAAGAATATATCATCAATTTTGTGTATTTGATTGACCAGTTTTTTTATCTTTTATTCCAAGTCGTCATTTCGTGCAAAATGAGCGATTACAACGCCCCAACGGAGAAATACGTAATATACTTCCTACGATTCTCGAAATAATCGACATTTCTCATGATCGATTTTTAAACGGGAATCATGGCGGAAGAAAGCACTCCTCGTCTGTAAGGAAGAAACTGTTATTCAGAAAATTCATCTAGAAAGAAGTATGGTCCAGAAGTTCTCAGGTAAAAATTTATCAATAGTTGTTAGATTTATGTTTGTATTTTTAAGATACAAGGCGCATTTTTAGCTCGAATTTAAGGTAAGATTTAACCAAATAATCATTACATATAATTCTCAACAATTAATGAAATAATAGCATAGAAACGTTTAAGTAGAATATATTATGCTAAAAGTTATTTATAATTTTGTACCAAATTTTATTTCAATTCTAACCAGTACAAATATTGTAACCTTATAATTGAGTAACTCATTGTTACATATATATATACATACACACACGTATTTTATTATATGCATATATACACTTCTATCATAATATTTTCTACTTATTTGTTGATTCTTTAACTTCATACTGCGTAATTCTTAACAATTCTTATATTAAAGTCGACAATAATTTATTAAAAATGTACGTATTTAATAGTTAAAATAATAATTTTACTGCATAATATAGTAGAAGTTTTCATTTTTCACAAAACAAGGTGTAGAAGGCCTTGGAGCTCGAAATCCGCGTTCAAAACAACATAAACATAACGCTTACGTGTGTGTATAAAGCTCTTAATGTTGCACTTGTTTATTCGCGTGACTCCCTTTCAACTTTTTGTTACCACTTTGTCGACACAAGTCGAGACAAGTCATTCAGCTACCGAATTTTGAGACAGTAACACGTGTCACATCGCACTGGGTTCGTAACTTTTTAATTCTAATCTATTGATCGCTTCTTCAACACTCTTTTACTTCCATTTACACCTCATTAATAGAATTATTTAATTAATACGTGCGTGCTTAACGATTCATTGAGCATCAAGATAACGAAATCAAGTAAGATTTTGAACCTTTCTTGCTGAGTTTTCTTCGACTATCGATTTCACTCTAACTAGTTACTAGTACTTTTTAATAGAATTTGAAGTTGATTATCGTTTCAGTTTTACATATTTGTCTCGATTTGACATATCTGTTCTAACTTTTTGTTTCTTTTTGTACAGGTTACTCCTTGGTTGCAAAAACAGAATAGAATGCATAGACGCTACGATCATCAATGAACATTCTAATGAACTTTCACGGAAAGCTGGTAACATTTTATTTATTCTAGATAACATGTGCTACATATATATGAAATATATTTCATAATACGTAATTTCGTAATTATATGGGATACAAGGATGAAAATGAAAAAGATTAAATCAATTAATACTTTATTTTGAATATGGAGATTGTAGTAACTTAATGGTATATACTTTCAAATCGATATATATTAGGATCTTGTATTAGATTATTAAATTCGAAGTTTTCGTACTTTACTATATTGTACTGTGCTACAATATATTTTTTCCAAACGCTGACATGCAATTAAATGATTCAGAGCAAGATTTTACACGTGTATGATTTTTTAGCCATAAAATTTTGATTGTGCAAACATTTTTGAATATTTATGACGACATTATATATTACTAATGTGCATATTTCACTTTAATAATAAACGAACATTCAGAATATAATTTCTACAAATATTGAGAAATATTTTATAATTTTCAATTAATATCTTTAATGCATGTTCAAGATTTTTTTAGAAAAATAGCAATATTTTCTATGTAATAAACGTACTCTTTGCCCTTCCCCTTTGTCAACTTTATTTTCAGAAAAGTTTTGTAACCGCGCGCAATGCGGTCGGTAGAGTCAGTGTTTGTTGCATAATATTTTAATATTTTTCTGAACATAATGGCTCTCATTAAATTAAATTAGATTATTAATTCATTTAAATTATAATTTGCGAAGTTAGAGTCAGTGAGTCCGCTGATTGTTGCGCTGATAGTCTTTTATTTTCCTTTTTTTATATTTTTTCGTATTTAACATCCGTTTTCGGTATATTAGAGTCAGTGTTCAAGAGGATAAGGCCTCTCCAGGAGATCAAGATTGTAAGTAATTTTATACATTGTACTTCAATTTATTCAATTTTTCGAATTTCAAATTTAACGACAAAGTATAATGTTTGACGTTTTGTTACAGACGCTTCACAATATCAACTTTTTGATATATTTTGGGGAAAATCTAACGGTGGCTCCAGAGCCAAGAATGTAAGAATCTGTCATTATCTTTTAAGAACTTAAAATTCTGCTTTGCTTTTAAATATAAATTCTAATATTTTATGTTTTGTTACAGATTCTCTACAATCTTCAATTCCCCTTATCTTCTAAGAATCTTACGATGCTTCAAAAGTTAAGAATGTAAGTACTTTAGCACACTATACTTGAATTAATTTTATTTTCTATAGTTCTCATTCCATTGAAGTCTAATGTAAATTTATAACTTCAAAATAAAAACGTTTCAAATTATTAGAATCCCAATTTTTTATCATTATTAAAATTCGAATTTTCACAAATAACACTGTGTCTTTATGTTTTTAAGAAATTTTTCACGGCGTTCACTTCCACTATGGGATTCTCAGTAATATCTGCTTGATGAGGGCCTTCAATTTTCCCTGCTCCAGTGGAGCATCTGTAATAACGTTCTTCACATCTATTCTGTGAGTCGCATGCATTTATGTTCCTCCGGTCACTCAACCATGTCGTAGGATGAAAGGTCCGAATCGGCACGGGTGATTGGTTGTATACGTAGAATTTTTAATGAGCACAGTGACCACGGATATTTTTTATATCCGTGAGTAGTAACATTTTTTTCAGGTTTCTTATGTATTAGATCAGGATAGGGCTTCTTGCACATCGCGATTTTAATAATTAGTTTAATTTAAATATATACAGTTATAGGAATTATTTATAAAATCAAAATATATTCAGTATCAATGTTTGCAAAGGTAAAATATCCATATGAATAGATAAATTATAAATAATTATTATTAAAACGATTTCTTTTAAGCATTTCATAGTAGAGAAGACGGATACCTTCCGACTTCGTTGCTATGAAAGATGCAGTTATTACTTATTGATACTGGTGATATATTTTTGCTTTCAATTAATAATTATTACAACAATTAATTATTTGTAATTTCATCTTCCGTTTTATAAGAGTATTGAATGATTTAATTAACTGAGTTTTATAATAATGAACTTTAGTAGAATTTGAAATATAGTAAATTAGAATTTTTTCCGAAAATGTATGAAATTTTATGTGCAAGAAGATACTTCGCGATACAGGCAGATTTTTGAATCAAAGCAACAAGTTTGAACACTGCTTTCACATTTTCGAAAATGTGCTTTGATAAAAAAGTCTTCTGAGATTATTTAATTGTTTGATTTTAATTGTTTGAGTCAATTTTTTTCATACTATCTTTTTTAATAAATTCAATTCTTATTCTTTGTTTTTATTCTCTTACAATTTCAATAATTTCTGAAAGAGTAGAGTCATTATAAGAGTAGAGTTTGAAATAAAGCAATGCAATAGATACCGTTAGATACTATATCCGTTGGATACAAATTACATAAACTAATTTAATAAATAATAATTTTTTTAGTTTAGGATTTTCAGGTTTAATCCCTTCCGTGTTCATTGTCAGGATCTCATTCACGTGCCCAGGTGCTACTTGAGTGGGTGAAAGACATTGGGCACGATGACCATAGTTTGTAATTTTATAAAACATTTTTCAGCGACTGACAATGCGTTAGCGTATCGTGCGCGACGTATTTTCCGCATGTATGTGTGGTTAGGATGTGGAATTGCGTCGTTTCTATTTATCGTTTGTTCCATTCATTATAAGTTGAAATATTTATGCATTTGAATTTGAAATACGAATTTATTATAATATCTATTAAATACACTGTAATTATATAATTATATATTATTAATTATACTATCAATTATAATAATGATTCCAAATCAACTTACACTTTTAATTTCTGTAGAAGTTATATATATTTTTTCTCAGTCATTAATATCTCACATACAGTTGTAAACATAAACAAATATAAACAAATCACGTTTTACGCAATGGTCGCTAGCTATTGTCAGTCGATTTCAGGAAAATGGTACGTAAATTAGAGTGTGAAAGTTGTGTGTTAAGCTCGGGTGTCGGAGGTGTCCCGGGACGTCCTCTCTAGTTTAGGCCTGCGCCTGAGTGGTATGTGTGAGAACCGTGGAGTGAATGTGTTGGTGTGCCTGTTTTGCCATTTTTTAAATATAGGTCGACTGATTAGGATAGGTAGCTTACTTTCTGGCATGCCTGTGTTTAATTATAAGTAGGTAGGGCCGGGCAGGTTGGCACAGTCTCTGGTCGCGTGTCCCTTTTTCGCGTGTCCAACCTNCTAATTTGAAAAATCGACAGTGAAATTGGTACAAATTGAGCATGCCATTTGTTTCTGGTTTTACTCTTCGATTTTTCGAATTTAGTATCGCGGTCGCGGTCGTGGTTAGGTCGCGAGTAGGTCCCGAAACGAACGTTTATATAGGCATTGCTCGAGCACGCACGTGCGAACGGACAACGATCACCATGATCGTTGATCGTCCATGTGTAATTCAATTAGCTGCCGCGATTTATCTTTTTAGTTCACCTTTATAAGTTATTTTTTGGTTTGCGATTAGAAAGACTCGAGCTAAATGTAAGTTTCAACGGGCATTGCGCTCGAAAAAAGAAGGGGCTAGAAGCCGAAGAGGCCCGGCAAATTGCCACGAAGAGGGTCACAACAAATGGTTTCTCATTCTCTGGATCATTTAAATGATTTCATAAAATGGGAGGTCATTCTCGTTACTACTTTGTCACTATGCTCTTTTAGTATTTGTAGTTGTATTTTTTTTTCTTCTTCATCATCGTTCATCGTCATTTTGGGCAAATCGCGATGTTTCTAGTGTCGCGAAAGACTGATTACGGGTTGAATTAGAGTTGCGAAATAGTTTCGAGTCTATTTATTAGTGTTGCGAAAAATTGATTACGGTTTAAATTAGAGTTGCAAAGAAATGATAATCGCGTTTGCTTTAGAGTTGCGAATTATGATACCGCGATTGTTTTTCATTGTTTTTCTGATATTCAAAATACTTTAGTTAATTTTTTCTTATAATAGCTTTTATATATTTTATGTTGATAATAATTTTCATTGAATTTGGTTTTAGAGTTGGTGTTGCGACATTATTTCATCGCGATTTCAATTATTTTTACTCTTAGTGTTGCGATATTGTTCCTTCGCGATTTCCAATTAGTTTTTCTTTAATTATTAGTGTTGCGATAATGAATAAACGCGTTTTTGTTTTGAAGTAGCGTTGCGTTTATGAAATGCCTAAATTTTTCCACTGGATTCGTGGAAAGTTATTCCTGTTCCTGGATCACTTGATGCAGCTATAAGAGCTGTACAAAGGTGGTCGTTCATCAGCAGATCTTCAGCATGGTTAGGTGGTTAGGACGCGTCGCAATTAGTGTTGCGTATTTCTAAATATGATAGATTAATAGCATTGCGTACTTACTTTCGGGAATTTTAAATATGACGAAGCACTCCTCGCGTTTGACTTTAAAAATTTCCTGTTTCACAATGCTAGTGAATTAGTATTGCAAAACAAGATACAGTTTGTTGTCCGGATTTATATCGAATGTAGATTTGACAATAGCCTTTCTGGTTATTGTATTGAGTAGGAAATGTTCTTTTAGTAGCTTTTCTTTAGTAGCTGGCTACTGTATCGCGATTTCTTTTTCAGTGGCCTTTCTGGTTACTGTATTAACTTTTCTTTTTCAGCACTCCTTACCACTGCGTTTATTACCATTATTACTAAAATATTGTTAAGAAATATATATTTTTTATTAGCTATAACTTCGGTAAATTTTATAAATTTAATATATTCCCAATATAAAAAAAGTGTAAGATTTTGTGTTTCATATATAAAATGAAGTGAGAAAGGTATTGCAACAATTAAATATTTAAATATTACAAATTTCAAACACTTTTTTACAAAATAATTAAATCGATAGTATTATACTTTGTAGGATATTAGCTTATTTTTGAAATATGAGTTAGTATCCAATATATTGTTATTGGAGTCATTAGTAAGGATTGTTCGTTATCAGAGTTATTTTTTTATCATTTTCTTTTATTACTTCTATTCTAAATTTTTCAATAAAGTAGAATTTTATAAATATTCGAATTTCGTATTAGTAGAATAAGCAAGATTTATTAATATAAAAAAATGAAGTGCAAATAGAGTAATATTAAATATAACAGTTTCTTACAATATTTTAGAATATTAATGATGTATCTAGTGAGAGAGGCAGTGTTTATTAATATAGCTACCAGATGGTGATAGTGTGTCTTCTAGCAGTTTGACACGCTTTTTGTACATAAAATGTAATTTGGTTGTTTTGCGATTGAAGTGTTCGAGTGAAAGTATTGTTACTGATAAAGATGGATATTAATATCGATAGATAAGAATTATTATGAGGATATATAGAAAAATATACAGGGTGATTCTTAAATGAATATTTCGAGTGACAAATCTGGACATTAAAATACATTAAAACTGTCGTATGAATCTTTAAACAATCGTGTCTTATATGTTTGAGTTATAGATAATTGAAAAAAAAATCACAATACTGCATGTCTTAGCATCTACGTTCGCTCGGAAATACAAAGTATTTCTCGAATAGTCTTAAATTCATTCTGAATCCTTTCTTGTATATCGTATCCATTTCAACACACAGTAGATTTTAAATTACATCAAATCTATTCAATACACGATAAATTCTAAATTACATCAAAAATAAAAATTTGAAGAATCAAGCTTTGTTTAATTTACTAAGGGACACGATGGACCCAATCATCAATAACTCTTACGTACGTAAGACTTAGATTCATAAATGTTTTTACTTATTTCATCGTGCAAATTCATCGCCCAAAGTATGGGCACGTATTTAAGAATCAGCTTGCATAGAAGAAATTGTTCGAATAACGTGAAGCTCCATGAAATTCAGTTCGAAGGTAGACATTCGAATAACGTGAAGCTCCATGAAATTCAGTTTGAAGGTAAATTGCGATTTTATTGAAACAATGCTCGTGGATTTCTTTACAACTGTGCTGTTTGATTTATTGCCTACGTTTATATGCATCTTCTAGAATTGGTAGCGAGTACAATAGTAAGCTAAATATCGAACGGCGTTCTGTACATTCTCGCAATTAATGATAAAATATTCGGCACAAAAAAAAAAAAACCGCCGCCCTTAATTTTAATCGTGTACATTCGACTATAGACGAAGCTTGAAAAATTGAATCGCCAATTGCGCGGGAGATCTGAACGTCACCTGAATGCCATCTGTGTGAATACCGATGCTAATGACAATTTAAAATCGTCGGTTGAGATGAACGCGCGTAAAAATTCCGGGAGTGAAAATTGGTGCAAGTGAAATTGCAATCTATTCCCGAGTGTACACGATGTCTTCATCAGCTCATGAATGCTGAATCAGCGGTCAATTCATTTCACGATCAAGTCGGCTACTACGTACATACACACTATAATAAAGTATATAAAAGCGTACAAAACACGTTTAGGGAAATATTCATGGCTCGAACAATACGTCAAACCAGTCGTACTTCATTTTCTCGTATACTTCGAAGCTCCGCCGTTTGTACAGGTTAGCGGAGAGATATTCGTTCTGTGTTCGTATTATTATTCGTTTCCTTTGCTTCTTCGTGTCGATTTACTCTTTTACAAAACGCGCATAAACACAATCGAGCACGGATGCCACGTTATGGCACGATTTTTAAACGTCCTCGTAAGAACGCACGAGTACACTGGCGGGTTCACGTTATTCACATTTTTCACAGTTACTTCTCGCGTTTTCCGTTTCGCTTCGCTTTGGTATATCGACTCCGCATGGTTGATCGACTGTCTTGATCTATCAAACTCTTAAGGAGAATCGTCTGGTACTGGGCAGCAGGATCTCAGACTAGGCTCGTGGTCCTGTGACAATCGAGTCTTTTATCACCAATTTCTAAATTGACACCGCAAGCTCCATTGGCATTCATCGGGAGTAATCTCTTTCAGATCTACGAAACTCCAGCGACAGCTGGACAAAATTCGTTAATTGCAATCAGTCTCTTTTGATTCTTGAACAACGTCTAGATCAAGATTCCAATATATTGCAAACAAATACACTAGCACCTCCTCCAATGTCGTAACTTGACTGTCCGAGGAATCGATGAAGAGGCAGTTAATATCAAAACATATAATTTTCCGAGGTGACTCGAATCACCCAGTCGAAGAGCGTTTCGTTAAGGCGTTATACTGTCACTATATGCAATCATCGATTTGCGATCGAGTTCATGTTGATTCACGGTAATAGAAAAAAAAAAAAAAAAAGAAGGAAAGAATATAGGTGGACGTTGAAAGTAGCAGAATACATTTATATATAACTGCTTCGCGGGATACATATACATATATCAAGTCTTTCGTAAAGGCACTTGGAAAGAAAATGGCACCATTCGTCATACGTCGCGCGTGTTCCACGCACTCTCGGCCTCTTCGTTCTTCCTTCTCCTCCTCTTCGGGGGATTTTTTTTTTCACTGACACTTGCTCTCGTTGTCCTTTCGCCTGTCTAGCTTCTGTATCGATGGTTCAAGTTGGTGTGGTAATTGGCGATCGCGTCGAATTTGTCTTTCTTCCGAGGACATTTACCTTGCCGCCTCATGTATTCACCGAACTCGCAGGTAGGCGTCGCGCACTCCTCGTTTTGAATGCATCTGCAAATTGACGTGATACGATCGCTGATAAAGGTCGGATAAAAAAAAGTTATGTGTATTATTAACCAGTGTTTACACCCTGAGCGAAATTTCAGTCGTATATTTTTTGAAAGTACATTTTCGTTTTTCCTGAAAAATCTTTTAAACGTTTGACCCAAAAACTGATTGTGTAACATATTTATTTATTTATTCTATGGGAAAAAGTTGGAGAACGTTATTGAAAAAAAACAAAGCAGAAGGCATATAATATGCAAACACAGAGAGAAGAAGGAAGAAAATTCTGCAACTTTTACAAAAGTAAAGACTTCATTAAGTAGTTCAAAATTTATTTACATTTTTCGAAAGCTTAGGATGATAAACAGAATTAAATCTGAATATGGTTGACTCAACTTTCGATGATACGCTTGCGCACATAATATTTATAATATTATGGAATTTAATTACGAAGACTTGTAAAAGTAATTTGAAAGTATCACTTACAATCTATCAGCGAGAGAGAAATATCCTTTTCCTCGTTTGATCTTGATGCAGTTTTGATGAGTCTCGAAACAGGTGCATTGGCACACGCCCTCGGACGTCATCCTCGGTGTGAATTCTGAAGGACACCGGCATCTGATCAATTAAAAATCACAGATTATTGATTTGTAATCTCACTCGATAGTCTATATATTAGCTGTACAAATAAGTTTTAAAGTGTTTCTTTCGAGTAACGTAGTATAACTCTTATTAAAAACACAGGCATTCGCCCGCTCTTTTGTCATTTTATGAATAGTATTAAAAATGACAATTCATTTGGCAATACTGTAAAAAATAGCCGAAAAATTAAGCAGTTTGAAGCGAGAAAGTATTTATTCGTCGCTGTATGAGTTTCATAGAGAAGAAAGAGCTAGAAAAGCATATGAATCGATTCTATCCTTGGGAATGATATCGTGTCTAAAAGCACGTGCACGTTTCGGTTTGAACGGTTTAAAGACGGTGATTTCGATGTTAGCGGTCGTAAACATAGCGGTGACCTTATCAAGATTAAAACTAAGATTTATAACTATTATAATTGAACCAAATAAAAGTAAAAAACAAAAACTCGTAGGATAACAACTGCGTTTTTTAATAGAGGGTGGAGTGAAAAGCATAGGCACGAGCAGTAGGACGTTCGTATCGATTCGTTTCGATCGGAAGGTGATCGATGCAGGTGTACGAGGACGTAGGGCATGAACTTACGGCTTTCTCGGCTGTGCCCTTCTCATGTTTTGAGGTTGCGGGGAGGGCTGATGATGCCTGTAGACTCTCTGCTCGGATGGTTTCTCGTTGCTCGTGTCGTATTCCGTCCTCTCTCGGCACTCGCATTCCGTGTGGTTGTAGAAAGACAGCTTTTCCACCACGCTGCTGCCGCCCACGTTCGTCGTCTGCAAGAAAAACCGGCGACGGATCGTTATTATTATTATCATCATCATCCCGCGTCCTCCAATAACGCGAGAGTCGACTCGAGAAGAAAATCGCGGCCCGCTTGAAAAACCAACGCAAAGAGCGCTTGGTGTCGTATCGCGTCGATTTTAATTGAGTTCAATTAATCTTAGTCGGCTGAGTAACTGGCTGACTGGCTGGCTGATCTAAAGTGGGTCCACTCGGTTTGCCGATGGTTGAGCCAACGGAAAGGGGTTATCCGTAATCGCGGGGCCACACGTAGCCAACTCTTCCAATCGACACTAATTACCCTCGGTTGCTATTTTTACGAGCAACGATTTCCAGGCTCGTTCCTCGAACGATTTCATGGAATCGGGACGCGGATTCGTATGAAATACATAGTAGACGCGTGTCGAAAGAAAGAACATTTTGAAAGCGGGACCGTGGAAAAGTTGGTGTCTCGCTTAGAGCGTTAATTACCGGCTACCTGGAGCGACGCGACCGGAATTCGCCAGCAGCTGATAAGTCTACTCGCGCATATCAATCAGCCGGCCAGCGTCTCTTCATCCTGGTATCGGGAATGCTGGATAGAAAGCTCGTAAATCGCGGAGGAAACGAAACGTAGTACAGAAGAGAATACAGATTAGCACGACTGCGTTTTAGAACGCACCTGGCCCGAAAGGAGCGCAACGTGGCCGGGTTTTAATCGACGAGCGTCGTTTATGATTGTTGGCAAGGATCGCGAATCGTGCGCGTAATTGATCGTGTTAAGTGGATCGTAGGATCGTGGCCGGGATCGATGACAATAGGCTAGCGGAACGAAATGCCGCGATCCCGTGTCCAAGGGCAGCGTAAAAGATTGTTCAAAATAACAGATAAATTCAATCTGTTTGTTATTTGCGGACAACGAATAAATTAATTAACGTTATTCGTTAACGTTATTAATTAACGTTAAAAGAGTATATTGTATTATCCAAAGAATGCAGCCAAGTACAAAACATAAAAGTCACTAGTCGCTTTAAACATTTTTATTTGTATTATTTGTATTATTCATAATATTTTTTATGCAACGTGTTTACAGTCGAAATAAGAAAAAATGAAATGCACTATACATATAAAATTCTACTATGTGTAGAAGAACTAATTAAGATCGATTTGTTTAAATTTACTTTCAACAGTAATCTCTTTTCGTAGAGATCATCTGAAATTATTTAGTTACGAGAGTGAAACACAGATATATGAATGCGAGTAAGAAATGATAAACGGATCCATAACTGGATAAATTTCCATAAAACTCGAGTAATAAATAACCGAATAACGATTAATCTTAATTAAACATTTATTTGTCGTTCTTGTTCAAATAAAAGTTTATTCGAACTCGCTGTCCAAGGGTAGCGACAACAGTTGGTCTCTGGTGGTTTCATCGATAGGATTCCGCAGGTAGGCGCGGTGATCACGACGTTTTGCCTCAACGTCAATCAGTGCAACGCGCCGCCGCGATCAAAGGTCGAGGGAGAATCAACGACAGACGGATCGCTTACGCAATCGCTAATTGCTGGGAATTTCAGAGTCGCTCGTGACATCGTGTTGCTCAAGTCTCGTCCAGCCCGTCGATCGTTCGTTCGACGTGTCTTTATTACGCGTTGTTACGTGGGCAAAGAGAAATATCACCGACACCGATTGGTAACGAGAATGAAACGCACTTTATAATCGTGCATGTAGAACCGCGAGATTTAACGACCGGAGAGGCGAATAAATACTTCGGATCGAGGATATATAAAAGTCAACGGGTTGCTAATACGGGCTGGAAATACGAGGAGGTTCATTTTATCGAATGTTAATGTTATTCGTGGCTAATGTACTTGGAAAGTAGTATGTCTGAAATGGACGAGCGTTCGGAGAAATCGGTGGATCGATTGTCTTCGATAAACCGGTGAACGTAAAGGTAACGCTGGACGTTTCCGTGGATCGAATAATAAAGAAACACGGTGGACAAATTGCTCCGCGGAGTAACGCGATTCTCCTCCGGTCGGTCTCTTGTCCGTTTCACAAAGCGCAAAGATCTTACTGGATCTCTGTAATACGAACTGCGCTCGTGCGCTGCGTACTCTGTCAAGACGATGCGCCAGGATTGAGATTCGCGATCGGCCCTGACGGATAGCCTGGCCGAGAGATCGTGGTCATAAATTTTACGCCACAGTGGCGTACCTAGCCTCTTATCCCTCGAGGCGTCTCGTTCCGCTCGAAACTGGGATAGCAACGTTGAAACCACCGATAGGATTATGGATTTATTCTTTCGTCGAATCTCGACGAAATTATCCCGCGGGCGTGTTGTTTCTCTACGAAATTTGCGTAGGGCGAAAAGATCGTCGCAAGATCGAGGGACGACGACGTTGGGTCGACGCCATTGTTGCATCGTTTTATCTCCTGGGCAACAGTCATGGTGGCCCCCATAGCGTTTTCTCGCGGCGCGTACATCCGTCCTGAATTTTTGCATATTTTTTGCATGATCCGCCGACGAAAAATCGAGCGTGAATAATGCACTTCCGGCCACGGCCCGGAGTGGGCCGGCTGCCTTCGTAAAGGGAGCCGCGAACAATGTCCCCATGGGGTGAGACGAGATACCGAATGTGCACGCCCATACAACGTACAAAGTCGACTCGAGCTCGTCCCCGATGGTGATCGAGTTCATGTTCGACCTTTTGTACCGCGCGACCTCTTTGCTTATGAACGTATGCATATCTCCATTACGAGTTCCCCTTCGCGAACATTCCGAGTCAAGAACTCTAGTCGACGCTATGTTGCTCGAACTTCACAATTTTCATTTTCATCTCATTCTCATTCACGGGTAGTGAACGAAGATTATTTAATGTGCAGTAGAAGACAGACAGTTATTAGCCGAATAACTTGGTGCGAAAATAATTGCAAACAGCAAAGGGTCAGCAAACATCGCGGAAAAGCTTAATAACTAGATCTAGATTTTTTACTGTGATGAAACGAGTGTGAGCGTGAATTTGAAGATTACAAGCGATGTCGAAGGAAGATAAACGCGTGGGAGGAGACGCGAGCCATTCAGGAAGATTCCTCCACGATTCTTTTCTCCTCGAATTCCCTCCCTCGAACACGCGTTTTCACGCGGAGATAGAAATTCGAACGTTGTCGCGAGCGTAGGAGGCGAAGGTGTAGAATTCTCTCGACGAACGACAGCCGGAATGATCTTGACAAGGACAAATAGATTGGAGGGAAGGAGTGTGCGAGGGCCTCTCTGTTCTCTGCCAGAGAAACGTTACACGTATCGTGGAATTTAATTTGTACGTGCGTTATTTCCCTTCAGCTAGAATCGAGCAGCTGACCGGCCGCCTCGTTAATATTCACCGTATCTCGCTCGGGGCACCAGCTCGTGAATGAAACACGGCAGAAGCGGGCACGAAATCACGTGCATCCCGAGTCTCGGGATCGGTGAACCGTGTCGGCCGCGTCTTCCACTTCGTGCACCGCCCTCTGTGTTTCCAGCAATTTTCGGAATACGAAGGCCCGCCGTTCCGTGACTCGATTCGCGATTCATCGCGAGCCACGAATGAGACATCGGAGCCGCGGCACCGTTGCGAAACGTCCGATTGTATTCCGATGCACTCGTTCGGCGAACTGTTCCCAAGGGGTTGTACTAACTTATACTGCGAGACTCGGTAATTGATTGAGCCTGTGGTAACTGCTCGTTGTTACTGACTAACTGTTCCAAGATTTTACCACCGCTCGCAGCGTGAATGCTTTACGAGCGCGTTTCGCCGGCAGAACGTGAACCACCGAAAGCTTTGGCTCGTTTCAGACCAGACCTGGGCGAAATTTATTTCGAATAATAATTTGCAAGTAAATTTTAGTGATTCCAAATAGAATCTCATCTACTGAACAGATACTTGTTTTATTGATACATGGTCGTGGAGCATAGGTTTAAATTTCTCCTATTGTCATCAAAAAGTCGAGTGATAGCCGTTTCAATTTGTATCAGTAAATAATAAATATAACGATTGGATCTATAAATATATATCTTGTATATAGATATATTATATATAATATATATTTAAATACCAGTTATTTCTATCAAAATCAAATAACAAATAAAGATCCTGGCAAATAGTAAATAATTTATTGGAAATAAATTAATTTAATTTTTATATGAAATACTTATTAATATAATTTCGTTACTTTACAAATAGATTATTTCTGAAAAATAACCTTGAAAAGTAATTTAAGAATAATGTTGCTAGAAAATTTCTCAAAACACCCAGGTCTGTCTCAGACTCGACGCATTCGATCTTCTCGACTTTCTCGATCGAAGAACTCTCTCGATTAAACTCTCGAGATACCTGCCGCCTCCATCGCGAAAGTATCTCGTGGGTGGTCGATCGATCTGCTTGATCGATATTCCTCGGAGATTTGATAAAGGCGATGTGTTTGTTTTATTTTTCTTTTCTTTCCTCTTGAGTAGTACGTAGCCTGTGTTTTCGCATGCAAATATCGCTTTCCTCCACTCACCGGGGGAATACTCATCGCGAGCTTCAATTTCGCGACAGCCGAAAGTCTGCGGGATATATTTTATTTTCTTAGCTGCCAAACTTTTACGCCTGCCAAAACCACTGTTCTAAGGGGACAGGGTTTCATCGTACTTGTAGGTCTCGTCTACAGCTTCGGCTCGGCGTGGGTTGACGAATGTTTTGGCAGACTGCCTGAAAGAAACGTCTTCGCCTCTGTGCCCCGAGTGTTTGTGTACCTTTCGCGATACTCGATATCTTTGAGCACGAGATCTTCGTTGCAGATTCTCGCCGGAGGATTTTATCTGACACTTTTGCAAGGACCGTATTGATGTTTTATCGTTGCATAGAGATAACACTGGCTGTTCCTCGCGTCGCGCCATTGATAATGAATGCGCGGTTCGCAGAATCTTTGCAACTTGTAAATGATTGTTAGACAAACGAGTGATAAGAAATGTTCTTCGAAGATCTCG